GTGTCTGTAAGTAGTGGTATACCATTCTCTTTTTTTTTTTTTTTTACTGGTATTAACCCACCCAGGCACAGGTCACTAACCCACATCGGGGCCTGGGGGAGAAAATGTAATAATAATAATAATAATAACAATAATAATAATAATAATAATAATAACTTTAATAATAATAATAATATCATCATCATCATCATCATCATTATTATTATTATTATTATTATTAAACGGTTTATTGAAAGAATATGGCAGCCATTAAGCTGAAAATATACAGTTACATAATTGGGGAATGGGTCACTTGGTTGACCAATAATATACAAGTAACATAAGTGATACAAATAAGATATATAATAACTAGGTGGGGAGAAGGTCATACTGCAGGGCATTTCAACATAGTAACAGTGCAAAAGTAAGATGGCTGGGAGTGAACACACTGGTTGATTACGAGTTGTTGATAATTTTTACAATGGTTGGGACTGGGCTGTTCTTATAGCGATCAGTACTTGCTAGTATGGGCTGGATGCGGTTGTGGTGTCCAACAGCAATTCGCAGACGAGGGATCTCGGGTGGAAATAGGAGCCCGTGTCGAGGCTGGTGCAGTAGCTTCTTCCTAAACTGATCATCGTGATGATCAGAGAGAGCCGAGAGGGTCAGTGTGTTGAGCGCTTCTTGATAAGTGGAGTAGAAGAGGAAGAGAATAATCTTGCTCGCCTCCTCTGCACTCCTTCCAGGAGTCCCCGTTGTGTAGCAGTTGAGGAGGAAGACCAGGCAGGGTAGGCATAGGTCAGCTCAGGCGACGGAGGAGGTGGAGATGATAGCTGGGAGATTTGGGGGTTGTACTGATGTGTGTGTGTGTGTGTGTGTGTGTGTGTGTGTGTGTGTGTGTGTCGCCAGTCAGCTGTATGGCACCAATCAGCGGTATATTCCACCAGTCAGTTGTACAACACTAGTTAGCTCTATGGCACCAGTCAGCTGTATAGCACCATTCAGCTGTACAGCACCAGACAGCTGTACGACACCAGTTATTTCTACGGCACAGGTCAGCTGTACAGCACCAGACAGCTGTACGACACCAGTTATTTCTACGGCACAGGTCAGCTGTACAGCACCAGTCAGCTGTACGACACCAGATATCTGTATGTCACCAGTCAGCTTTATGGCACTAGTCAGCTGTTTGGCACCAGTCAGCTGTACGGCACAAGTCAGCTGTATGACACCAGTCAGCTATACGACACCAGTCAGCTGTATGACACCAGTCAGCTGTATGGCACCAGTCAGCTGTATGCACAAGTCAGCTGTATGACACCAGTCAGCTGTATGACACCAGTCAGCTGTATGACACCAGTCAGATGTACGGTACCAGTCAGCTGTATGACACCAGTCAGCTGTATGACACCAGTCAGCTGTATGCACAAGTCAGTTGTATGACACCAGTCAGATGTACGGTACCAGTCAGCTGTAGAGACATCAATCAGCTGTATGGCACCGGTTAGCTCTACGGCACCAGTTAACTGTACGGCACAGTACAGCGGTATATTCCACTAGTCAGCTGTACAACACCAGTTAGCTCTACGGCACCAGTCAGTTGTTTGGCACTAGTCAGCTGTATGGCACCAGTCAGATGTATAGCACCAGTCAGCTGTACAGCACCAGTCAGCTGTATGTCACCAGTCAGCTGTACGGCACCAGTCAGCTGTATGGCACCAGTCAGCTGTACGGCACCAGTCAGCTGTACGGCACCAGTCAGCTGTACGGCACCAGTCAGCTGTTTGGCGCTGGTCGGCTGTATGGCACCAGTCAGCTGTATGGCGCAGTTGGCTCTACGGCACCAGTTAACTGTATGGCGCAGTCGGATGTACAGCACCAGTTATATGTGCGGCACCAAGTCGGCTGTATAACAGTCAGCTGTACAGCACCAGTCAGCTGTACAGCACCAGTCAGCTGTATGTCACCAGTCAGCTGTACGGCACCAGTCAGCTGTACGGCACCAGTCAGCTGTATGTCATCAGCCAGCTGTATGGCACCAGTCAGCTGTACGGCACCAGTCAGCTGTACGGCACCAGTCAGCTGTATGTCACCAGTCAGCTGTACGGCACCAGTCAGCTGTACGGCACCAAGAGTAGTCCGGTGCCATTACCAGGATGATGCAACAGCTGTCACAAGCCTTGAGACCTTGGTTTTGTGACGTCACGGCTGATACACGGAGAGCTGGCACAGGGGCTGACACACACACCTGGAGAGCTGACACAAGGGTTGACACACACACCTGGAGAGCTGACACCAGGGTTGACACACGCACCTGGAGAGCTGACACAAGGGTTGACACACACACCTGGAGAGCTGACACCAGGGTTGACACACACACCTTGAGAGCTGACACCAGGGGTTGACACACACACACAGCAGGCTGACACCAGGGTTTGACACACACGCCTTGAGAACGGCACAACACCTTGAGCGACACCAGGGGCACACACCCTGGGACACAAGGTTGACACAACCTGGAGACACCAGGTTGACACACACACCTGGAGAGCTGACACCAGGGTTGACACACACACACCTTGAGAGCTGACACAAGGGTTGACACACCACCGGAGACACAGGGCTGACACACACACCTGGAGGCTGACACAGGGGTTGACACACGCACCTGGAGCTGACACCAGGGTTGACACACACACCTTGAGAGCTGACACAGGTGTTGACACACACACCTGGAGAGCTGACACAAGGGCTGACACACACCTGGAGAGCTGACACAAGGTTGACACACACACCTGGAGAGCTGACACAAGGGTTGACACACGCACCTGGAGAGCTGACACCAGGGTTTGACACACCTCCTTGAGAACTGACACCTGGGTTGACACACTCCTTGAGAACTGACACCAGGGCTGACACACGCACCTGGAGAGCTGGCCACAGGTCTGACACAGGTACCTGGAAAACTGACGTCAGGCTTTATTTAGGGGGCAGAACTGAAAGGAGAAAGCTGAGGGAGGATTACCACACAAAAGTTATGTGGTATTTCCATTTTGTTACATCCATCATACTGTGACGACTCTCTCTCTCTCTCTCTCTCTCTCTCTCTCTCTCTCTCTCTCTCTCTCTCTCTCTCTCTACACACATTTTCTGGGACCTACTCTATACTGCCTATACTCACAAACACTCAAACGTCATGCAACCAAACACTCAGACGTCATGCAACAAACACTCAGACGTCAGCAACAACACTCAGACATCATGCAACAAACACTCAGACGTCATGCAACAAACACTCAAACGTCATGCAACAAACACTCAGACGTCATGCAACAAACACTAAAACGTATGCAACAAACCTCAGACGTCGTGCAACAAACACTCAGACGTCATGCAACAAACACTCAGACGTCATGCAACAAACACTCAGACGTCATCACAACAAACACTCAGACGTCATGCAACAAACACTCAGACGTCATGCAACAAACACTCAAACGTCATGCAACAAACATTCAGACGTCATGCAAAAATACTTTATTAAAAACACACAAACAGTCATCAGACGCCACAACTCAGAAAAGTTGGGTCATGAGAACAAGGAGGTGTGGGGAGAGAGGTGGAAGGAGTGAGGGAGGGGAGAAGGGAGGTGGAGGGGGGTGTTGGGGAATATAATGTTACACAACAATAAATAAGTTGGTGATTAATATTTATCTAACACGTCAAAATCCTCCTCTCACCTCCCACCTCTCATCCCACTCCCCTCCCACCCTCCTCCACCCTCCTCTCTCCCTCTCCTCTCCCCCTCCACCCCTCTCATCCCCCCCTCTCCTCCACCCCTCCTCCTCCTTCTCCTCTCCCCCTCCACCCCTCTCATCCCTCTCCTCTCCCCCTCCCTACCCCTCCTCCCTCCCTCTTCCCATCCCTTCCCTTTCTCCTCCTTTTCCCCTCCCCCTCTCTCCCTCCCTCTCCCCTCCCACCCGTCTCCTCCCTCTCTCTCCCCCTCCACCTCTCTCCTCCGTCTCCCCTCCAGCCTTCCCCCTCTCTTCTCCCCACCCCACTCCTCGCCTCCCCCTCCCACCCCTCTCCTCCCTCTCCCCTCCACCCTCCTCCCCACCCTTTCCTCCCTCTCCCCCCTCCCACACCTCTCTGTCTCCCCACTCCCACCCCTCTCCTCCCTCTCCTCTCCCCTCCCACCCCTCTCCTCCCTCTCCTCACCCCTCTCCCCACCCCTTTCCTCCCTCTCCCCCTCCCACCCCTCTCCTCCCTTTATTTCCCCTCCCCCCTCTCCTCTGTCTCCCCTCCCCACCCCTCTCCCCCTTCTCCTCCCCCTCTCCTCCTCCCTCTCCTTCATCCCTCTCCTCCCTCTCCTCTCCCCTCACCCCTCTCCTCTCCCCTCACCGAATCGGGGAAAATATTAGCATTTTTTAACACGTGAGAACGGACGTGACCCAGCATCTTCCCCACCCCCTCTTCCTCTACCACCCCCCCACCCCCTCTTCCTCTACCCACCCCCACCCCTCTTCCTCTACCACCCCCACCCTTTCCTCTTACCCACCTCCCCCTCTCTCCTTATCACTTCCCCTTCCTCTCCTTTATCACCCCCTCCTCCCTTAATCCTCCTCCCCTCTCTCCCTTCATCTCTCCTCCCTCTCCTCCTCCCTCACTCGTGACTCACCCAGGAAAAAGATGACAGTGGGGAGATTATCAAACCTCTCTCTCTCCTCTCTCTCTCTGTTTATCTCTGTCTCTCTCTCCCTCTCTCTCTCTCTCTCTCTCTCTCTCTCTCTCTGTCTCTCTCTCTCTCTCTCTCTCTCTCTCTCTCTCTCTCTGTTTATCTCTCTCTCTTTTCTCTCTCTCTCTGTCTCTCTCTCTCTCTCTCTCTCTCCTCTCTCTCTCTTCTCTCTCTCTCTCTCTCTGTTTATCTCTCTCTCTCTCTCTCTCTCTCTCTCTCTCTCTCTCTGTTTATCTCTCTCTCTCTCTCTCTCTCTCTCTCTCTCTCTCTCTCTCTCTCTCTCTCTCTCTCTCTCTCTGTTTATCTCTCTCTCTCTCTCTCTCTCTCTCTCTCTGTTTATCTCTCTCTCTCTCTCTCTCTCTCTCTCTCTCTCTCTCTCTCTCTCTCTCTCTCTCTCTCTCTCTGTTTATCTCTGTCTCTCAGGGGTGTGTTGGGTGGCTATGAATAAGTGTATGAGTTTGAGTGTCAGGTTGAGTGTGAGTTGGAGTGTGAGGTTGAGTGTGAGTTGGAGTGTGAGTTGAGTAGAGTTGAGTGTGAGGTTGATTGAGAGGTGGAGTGTGAGGTTGGTGTGAGGTTGAGTGTGAGGTTGAGTGTGAGTTGGTGTGAGTTGATTGTGAGGTTGGTGTGAGGTTGAGTGAGAGGTTGAGTGTGAGTTGATTGGAGAGGTTGATTGTGAGGTTGGTGAGAGGTTGAGTGGAGGTTGATTGTGAGGTTGAGTGAGAGGTTGAGTGAGAGGTTGATTGAGGTTGATTGTGAGGTTGTGAGGTTGTGTATGAGTTTGAGAGTCAGGTTTGGGTGTGAGGTTGAGTGTGAGGTTGAGTGTGAGGTTGAGTGAGAGGTTGGTGAGAGGTTGATTGTGAGGTTAGTGTGAGGTTGATTATGAGGTTGAGTGAGAGGTTAATTGTGGTGATTGAGAGGTTGGGTAGAGGTTGAGTGAGGGTTGATTGTGAGGTTGATTGTGAGGTTGAGTGAGAGGTTGATTGTGAGGTTGATTGTGAGGTTGAGTGGAGAGGTTGATTGAAGGTTGATTGAGGTTAGTGGAGGTTAGGTGTGGTGAGTGTGAGGTTGGTGTGAGTTGGTTGAGTTGATTGTGAGGTTGGTGTGAGGTTGAGTGTGAGGTTGAGTTGTGAGGTTAGTGTGAGGTTAGTGAGGTGAGGTGAAGTGTGAGGTTGATTGTGAGGTTGGTGAGAGGGTTAATGTGAGGTTGGTGAGGTTGAGTGAGAGGATTGTGAGGTTGAGTGAGGAGGTTTGATTGTGAGGTTGAGTGTGAGGGTTGATTGTGAGGTTGAGTGGGGGGTTGATTGTGAGGTTGAGTGTGAGGTTGATTGTGAGGTTGAGTGAGGAGGTTGATTGTGAGTTGAGTGTGGGGTTGATTGTGAGGTTGAGTGAGAGGTTGGTGAGAGGATGAGTGAGGAGGTTGGTGAAGATTGGTGTGAAGATTGAGTGTGAGGTTGAGGTGAGAGGTTGAGAGTGAAGGTTGAGTGGGGTTGATTGTGAGGTTGAGTGAGAGGTTGAGTGAGAGGTTGATTGTGAGGTTGAGTGGTGAGTGAGAGGTTGAGTGAGGTTAGTGAGAGGTTGATTGTGAGTTGAGTGTGAGGTTAGTGAGAGGTTAGTGAGAGGTTAATGTGAGGTTGGGTATGAGAGGTTGGTAGAGGTTGGTGTGAGGTTGAGTGTGGTTGAGTGGGAGGTTGAGTGAGAGGTTGAGTGGAGGTTGATGTGAGGTTGAATGTGAGGTTGGTGAGAGGTTGATTGTGAGGTTGGGTGAGGTTGATTGTGAGGTTGAGTGTGAGGTTGATTGTGAGGTTGGTGGGAGGTTGATTGTGAGGTTGAGTGTGAGGGTTGATTGTGAGGTTGAGTGTGAGGTTGGTGAGGTTGAGTGGGGGTTGATTAGTGGGTTGAGTGTGAGGTTGGTGGGGTTGAGTGAGGAGGTTGGTGAGGGGAGTTGATTGTGAGGTTAGTGTGAGGTTGGTGAGAGGTTGGGTGAGAGGTTGAGGGGAGGTTGAGTGAGAGGTTGGGTGAGAGGTTGATTGTGAGGTTGAATGTGAGGTTGGTGAGGTTGAGGTGAGAGGTTGGAGTGAGGAGGTTGGATGTGAGTTGAGTGGAGGTTGAGTGAGAGGTTGAGTGAGGAGGTTGAATGTGAGGTTGGTGAGGAGGTTGAGTGAGAGTTGGTGAGGAGGTTGAGTGAGAGGTTGGGTGAGGTTACGAGATATAATAAGGGCACAGGTGAGGCTTAATTGAGGCTAGGGCCAAGCCTCCTGTTAAGGCGCTTGGATGTTACCTGTGTTAGTTGGGGACCAGTTAGTCTTAACACACACACACACACACACACACACACACACACACACACACACACACACACACACACACACACACACACACACACACACACACACACACACACACACACACACACACACACACACACACACACACACACACACACACACACACACACACACACATACACACACACACACACACACACACACACACACACACACACACACCTATTTTAACTTCATAACATCTTTCCATATTTTCCTCCTTCCTCTCTCCTTCCCTCCTCCCTTTCTCTCCTTTCTTCTTCTCTCATTTCTTCTTCCCTTTTCCTGTCTTTCTCTCATTAACTTTTTCAGTTCATAATTTCTTTAGGTTGGGTTAGGTTAGGTTAGGCTAGGTTAGGATGGGTTAGGTTAGGTTAGGTTAGGTTGGGTTAGGTTAGGTTAGGTTGGGTTAGGTTGGGTTGGGTTAGGTTGGGTTAGGTTAGGTTAGGTTAGGTTGGGTTAGGTTGAGTTGGGTTGGGTTGGGTTGGGTTGGGTTGGGGTTGGGTGGGTTGGGTTGGGTTGGGGTTGGGTTGGGTTAGGTTGGGAGGTTATTGGGTTCGACAAATGCTGGCAGTGTTGCTTCATGCTTCGATATTTACCTGTAATCAAGGCGCAACATCTGCGTGTGTGTGGTTGTGTGTGTGTGTTGCGTGTGTGTGTACTTGTACGCCAGTGTGTGTGTGTGTGTGTGTGATGAAATAAGACTAAACAAAACAAAGATAAAACAAAGAAATAATGAAAAAATTAAACAATGGAGAAAGCAACAATGACAGCACTCGTCAGGCAGAACAACTAAAACACATGTAAAACACAAATATAAAGAGAAAAAAAACAAAAACACAAACAAAAACATACAAACCCAGACGTATGTTTCCCCGTCTTTTCTTCTCAATGTTTTTCCCATGTTTATCTTTTTATTTTTATTATTTGTATTTTTGTGGCGGTAAAAAATAAACAAAACAAAGGAGAATTATTATTTTTTATTTAGTCTGTCTCTGGTGCCCCTCGTGTTTACAGTGACGTCATAGTTTGTTTAGTGACGTCATAGTTTGTTTACAGTGACGTCATAGTTTGTTTACAGTGACGTCATAGTTTTATTCTAGTGACGTCGGGTTTGTTTCCAGTGACGTCATAGTTTGTTTACAGTGACGTCATAGTTTGTTTAGCGTCATAGTTTTTTCAGTGACGTCGAGTTTGTTTCATGATGTCGGGGTTTGTTTACGTGACGTCAAAGGTAGGTAAGTCAGAGCGTTGGGTTGGGCCCATTGACAATATACACAGTATTTTACAAGACCAACGAGGTTATCCTAAAACTATATCTTGACTTCAGTTTTGGTCACCGTACTAGACACACACACAAACACTCCCTCATAATACGAACACACACACAAACACACACACACACACACAAACACACACACACACACATACACATACACACACATACACATACACACACATACAAACAATACCCCACAACACACACACACACACACACACACACACACACATGCACATTACTACTACTATTGCTGTCACTCGAATGAGTATGATGATCATCCAGCTATGATACAATTATATGAGTTATTAGGGATGTCACCTTCATTCGTGATTTCTGGGGTGACTAAAGAGGCTGATACGGGACCGGCAGAGTTTCTCAATGTTGCACATGTGGAAGGCTACATCAAGTGCAGGAGGGGCGGCAGCAGCGTCTTTCTGGCGTTGGCGCTTTTCTGCCTCTGTTTGGAGTCGGGCTAACTCGAAAGTATTGACACTTTCTCGTGTGGTGCTCCTCCAAACGCTTTGGTGAGAGTAATCAGTTGCCCACCAGCGTTACATTGGCAGTCTACTGTCGTCCAAGTGGGTAACATCGCCAGTCCAACGTAGTTGTTCATGGATAATGGTAGCTTAGAAGGTCCTACAGTTGGTGTCAGCATGAATTCTGGCATTTGTTCTCTTGTCTTCCCTGTGGACTCGGAGGATGGAACGTAGACTACGTTGGTGAAAGTTTTCAAGTGCCTTGGAGGTGCCTCCTGTATGTGACTCATGTCTCGCTGCCATATAGCAGGGTGGGGAGACCACGGTTTCGGGTCTGCCAAAGTTGAGATGCACATCTGATCAGTGCTGAATCTCTTTATGAATGTCACAGTGGTGGACAGATGGGAACCGAGATAGCGAAAGTGGAAGTAACGTACCGTTAAGCTGAATGGATGATGGAGGTGTGTCTGAACCAGGGCAAGTTGAAGAGAATCTGAACCTGTACATTCACCTCAAGGCCGAAGTGTGCATGTCTGCGTAGGTGTTCAGGATCTCCTGTAGGTCGCGTTCAGTGTGAGCAACAAGGGTGAGGTCGTCTGCATGCTACAGAACTTCAGTAGTGGAGGCTGCCGACACCTTTATTCTTAACTGGAGTCGTCTTATGTTGAAAAGACCCTTCATCCTGTACTCGATGTCCACCCGCCAGCTAAATGGCACTGACATGATGGGGAAGAGCAAGGAAAATGGAAAGAGTTGGTGCCAGTGTACACCTTGTTTACCCCGTTGGGCGGGATAAATTCAGACTGGATGCCATTGTGCAGGACACTTTCATGCCTTTGTGGGGATTTGCTTCTAATGGCGATGAATTTTGGGGGCAGCCAAAACGGCTGAGATCCACCAGAGGGCTTCCTGTTGACCGAGTCGAAGGCCTTGGTTAGGTCGATGAAAGCCATGTACCGGTACGCTGTTCTCTTCCTGTATCTGACGGGCAGCAAAGATCATGTCAGTGATGCCACATGATGGTCTAAAGGCCACAATGAGATTCTGGGAGGAAGTTTTCCGCCTCAAGAAGAATCTGCTTGGGAGGACTCAGGCATAATCTTGCCAGCTACGGACAACAGCAAATCCGCAGTAGTTGCCAAAGTCTGACCGTCTCCTTGTTCATATAAATATTATGATGGAAGCATCTTAAGAGCTTGGGATATCTTCCTTTTCCATATATTTCCAGAGAGAGGGACGGCTGGTTAGTAGAGTGTCCTCCTGTTTTAACACTGGCTGGAATTCCAACAGCCTCCTGAGGCTTTGTTATTTTTCATCTGTATGATGGCAGTAGCTACTATCCAGGGATGGAGGATATTGATGACAGCTTTGATGCTGAGGGACCATGGTAGTCAGGACATCCACATTCGGTGTTTCCGTTGAGCATTGAATGGTAGTGCTTTTCCAGCGCTGAAGTTCAGCGTCCTTAATTATGGAGTTAACGTCGGATGAGCGAAGGGGACAACACCAACAGTGATTGGCCCATAAAATGTTTTTGGTGGAATTGACAAATTCATGATCTTGTGTTGATCTTCAAATTTTTGGTGTTTCACATGCTGTATTTATAAACCGTCGTTCTTAGATTGCGAAATTTCCGCTAGCTGAAGCTTTTTCTTGAGAAGGTATGCTTTGGTCCGACTGAGGGTTGTTCTGCCAGTCAGATAAAGCAGCACGTTTATCATTGACAAGTACATTGATTGCAGGGCCTTTTTATCAAGCGAGTCCTGGTGTATATTTCGATCTGGCTGAGTCTTGGAAAGTTTTGTCAGAACAGTGTCGAGAATATCCCATTGGAACACACACACACACACACACACACACACACACACACACACACACACACACACACACACACACACATACACGCACACACACACACACACGCACACAGCCAGACAACACAATAAATAAGGAATAAGGAAAGATTCAGAGAGATTTCCGTGACTCTCAGTGACTGTCTTAACTTCCTGGAAGATGGGAGGGGTGGAGGGGAGGAGGGGAGGGAGGGAGGGAGAGGGGAGGGAGGGGATAGAGGGAGGGAGGGAGGGGAGGGAGGGAGGAGGCAGGAGGGGAGGGGGGGAGGGAGAGAGGGAGGGGAGGAGGAGAGGGAGGAGGGAGGAGGGGAGGAATGGAGAGATGGTGAGGGAAGAGGCTGGGGAGGTACGGAATGAGCTGAGGGGAGGGGAGGGGGAGGGAGGGGAGGGAGGGAGGGGAGGAGAGGGGAGGGGAGGGAGGGAGGGAGG